GCAAATGTCGGTGCTTGCGTGATCCCACCACAAAAGGTCAGCTGTTGCGCCAACATGGCTGGCTGCGTGACGTATACTGCTCGCTCCTTTCTTCCTGCAAACAGCCCCCACACTGGGGAAGTCAGTCCTGTTGGTCGTCTTCTAATAGGCAGAATATCTGGCCCTTGACAAGGTCGCTACGTATATATACATAGCATTATTAATCCCGCCAGTAAAAGCACCGTCTACTTTAAACATGACCGTCAGAAGGAGGGCCTTAGCCTGTGCACTGACATGCGCTACGTCACTGCATTTGATTGCCGGGCATGATGATCTCAGAGACGGGAACGATCTCGTATAGGTGACGTCCGTTACCTGACGGATGATATGGTAGGGACCCATGAACCGAGACAACAACTTATCTCACAAGCCAACGCGTCGAACTTGGCACCACAGGAGAAGTGAGCAGAGTGAGATACTAACGTCGACATACCGTCTGTCGTAGAGGGTCATATGGGTTGCTTGTGAAGCCGACAACTTAGAGTGGGCAATCTGGCGCGCGTGGTCGGCGCGAGGGATAGCATCGCGTGTGTATTCGCTCAGCGGACGTGTAGTATCAGGAAGTAAAGTGTCCAGTGGTTCAGATCAGGGCCATACATAATAAAGGATGAATATCATAGTGCGAGAAATTGCGGACGAATGTCACGTGAGGTATAGCGAGATCCCCTTCACGGTGGCCAGACGAGACGTATACATAGAGAGCATGTCCGTGAGGGCTCGATTGAGACGCTCGGTGAGACCGTTTGTTTGCGTGTGGTACGAAGCAATCAATTTGTGCTGTGTTGCCCTTGAGAGCATAACTCGGGTAAAAATGCTCGGCCGCGATCAGCAAGCAATTAGCAGGGAGGACAATCCATGGTGTATAGAATGACATCGTGGAGCAAGCAATCGGCAACGTCGGTATCAATGCTGGTAGATCGCTCAAATGATGGCATACCTAAGTTTTTTTGTTGTTGAAATTATTCAACGTTCGCAGTTCTTTTTGGTGTCACTAGAGACTTGAGTTATATATTAGGTGTTACTTTTGAAATAAAATTAGTTGCGAGTGTAGCGAATGTCGTGTTTCTTCTTGTCATTTGTGTACCCGTCGAATTTGCGCTACTGCACCTTATGTTACATTGATACCTCACCAACTAGCCCAGCTCCGAACCTTACTGATGTCCCTGGGGGCATACCTGGTTTAATTAGTAACGGCGACCGGTTTGTTGCCAGAGGGTGACTCGGGAAAACGACCGAGAAGATCTATAGCGGCACGAAAAAAAAAAGGTTGAAGATCAGCTGAACAGGTACATCGGAGGGTGCGGCAGGTCGCTTTCGACGTTGGCATTTATCGCAAGAGCCCATGGACGTGTATACCATCGAACAGACCGGGCGCGGCCGCACCAAAGGAAGCCGCACCGTACTCGAGTTACGCCCAGGTGGCCCGCAGTTGGTTCGTCGTGAAGGTTATGCAGTACCGTTGAACGCATATCTTTAGGCACGTATAGATGTAGATCAGGACCTGGACGGTACAGCGTGCCGTTCAAGAGGACGAATATGCGAAGAGATCCGTCGTTCGTTCCAAGTGGTCAATGAGTGACAGGAAGGAAGCATTGCGACGCTGTTCGTCACCAATACGTTTTGAGAGACGCTATTGCCGTAAGTCAAACCCAGCACGTTAGACCTTCCCGATGTCTACGTGCACCCTATACCACAGTTCAGACGCTGCAGCCCCCAATCGTCGTCCCCTGTCACCCGGTCAATACAGCCTTGGCACTTTTCCTCGCCGACTTTCGCTCGCAGCAGGAATTTTGCATCTTATGGAGGTGAAACTGCGAAACCATCGATGCCTGGAAATTGACGCTTACAGACTGCTTCATGTATATAGGAGTCGACAATGACCGCCCTCGCTGACAGCCCCTGTCCAAGATGAGTGCTCCTTTATGCCGCTGCCTGCAGAATATTATGACGCCGTCTACGACTCCGGCGATACATGTTGCTTTTGGTGGTACATTTGGAAGTAATGTCGGGTCAACATTGGCGATCGTCACGCCGTGATCCGGTCCGCATAATTGCTGGTTGCCCTCATGAGCTCACAGTTGGCCTTGATTTGTTTTCGGCACACTCGATCTTAGCTGATTGTTCTTCGGGTACAATCTCCCACGATCTTCCTCTTCAGCCAGAAGACTGTGAAAAGCCCGTCCGCAGCTAGAGCCCAATCGACCAATTTTGTTCACATATATAACACCCAGCAGACACCTGTGTGTGTTTGTCGTCAACTCCTCCACTTCGCGACAGTGACTATATACGTCACCACACCGAAAACGGAAAACTGACGCGCATTGTTGCTGGGTTGCTACACACCAGCATCATTAGAAGCGAAGCCGGCCGACCACTGGGAAGACCCACAAAAAATAAGATTCACTTATGAACAATTTTTATAGCTATTAGTAAAAAACAAAACTATGCCGCAATCTGAGCGGACAGTGATATATGTAAACAGGAACAGAAAGACGCGAACGATCACAGCACACTCGAGTACACCAAGCGGCGCCTCTTGCGTGAGCTTCGCCATGTTACAAGTTATGGACAGCCCAACCATAATGCAGCAAACTTATTCACCCCTCACGTCCCTCACCCGCGGAAGCAGCCCATATAACCCCGGGAAAAGTATACTAACCCCCGTATTCAGAAACGCTCCTTGACTTGAACTTGACTTGTCACCGACATCAATGCAGCACAAACGGGTTTCGAACGCATTGCCCCTAGGTGGTGCCAAGGCAGCACAGACGCACAGATGCGTTTCAAACGTGCTACGTTCAAGGCGTTTTCAAGTCAAGTTTAAGCAAAGGAGCGTTTCTGAATACGGTGGTTAGAGCTGCTTTGGTGCGCTTTCGCTTCGAGTGAGCTTCATAAGTGCGCGAAATCACCCGGTATACGTTTCCGAGCATCACAATGCATCGTTTTTTCGGCAGCTTAAAAATGACATTGAAGGTGTCTGTCAGTTGGGCTTGCTGGTAAAAGTTGATGATGAAACAAGCACAGTATGCACAGAGACTTACATAGGACATTATGCGAGCTAAAAGGAGGCCCGGTCTTAGCTGCCAGCCTCAACTTCGTGACAAAACTATAACCTACAAGCACGAGAAGCAACCTGCAATGCTTTTTTTGAAATCAGAAAGGAAGCGCGACACCCAGACGTCTGTTCTGCTAACAGATTCTGAATGAGTGGTTTTTTTTTTTGGCGTAACAAGACTGTTTTTTTTATTTTGGCAGGTAAACGCGTACTTCTCTGCTGTATGCGATCGTTTATTTTATAACGGTGTTTCATTGATTCATACTGTTTCTGATAACAAAGGTGGTTTGTGGTGACGTGCATTCGTGTGATGCAACTATATAAGAATGCTCTTTTGGAGAAAAAAAAATCTGTAGCTAGAAAGCACTTTATTCTGTGTCCCTTATAAGCCTTCATACATATTACGCTTGTATCGGCATTTGTATAATAATTGTTACCCGGCACCTCCACCAGATGTCACGGTGTCACGACGTGGACGAAGGGAGCATACTCGTTGTTTAGAAGAAACTGTTCAGTCGGATGAGCTTGTGGCCAGGAAATTGATGGTCGGATTCTAGTAATACACGAAAACTGATAACGGTGAACAGAGCATCAGCCGTCGGTCAACTGACAAGCGGCGATGCGCGGGGGCATTTACACATGTATCGTCGAATCTTCCAGCCTTATCACTTGTCTTCGCGCAAGATCTCGAATAATATCGAGTGTTCACGCCTTGCGGACAATCTTGACAGAACGATCTACAATGATCGCTAACCTTCTCGAACAATGAGGCACAATTTTCACTGAGAATTCCTGATACCCAGGCTTTGTGAGTTAAATTTGAATTTAACAAAAGTGAAAATAAGAAACGTGCGTGGCATTATGAACTAAGCCTAGCTTCGTTTAAAAATTCAGTAGAGGCAGCTAAATTTGGATGGCCAAACTTTTTTCTGCCATCGACTTAAGTATCTATACGGTGGAAAATGAAGCTCGAAGTTACGCTATATGGACTACGATAAGATAGGCGCTCTCACTGCCTCCACACACTTGGGGACAACCATTGCTTGCTAAAAGAATAAAAGAACACACAAACTACTGGTAAAGAAAACGCTTCCATTACCGTTCCGCATGGTCGCTGCATGTGACTGCTTGTTCTTATATAATGTCTGTCAGTTCTCAAGCTCTGAATCTGGCTGCAGTGCCTCCTTTCTTTAGCACCCTCTTCTCTTGCTCTTTCTCGCTTATCGCATAGCGTTCGCGTGTTCTTTGTGGTCATCGGGTACAGAACCCTTCATGTGTTGCCTCACCACGGTAATCATATGAAGTACATTTTTGTTGCGTTGTGTGCAGATCTGTGGGGCAGCATCTTGCATTTTTCCTGTTACAATGTAGGCGGGCACGCTGGCTCTGTGAGAGATATGGTGTTTTGAGATAGCGCGTCACCGTTCGTAGAGCTGTGCGGCCAACCAATGGGAAAGCGTCATGCACTGTGATGCTCGTGCATGCGCTTACTCGAAAAGCACTTTAAGGCGGCTTCGAGCCACAAAGCACCAAGGAACAAATTTGACAGAGAGGGGAACATATCAACTCCGCGAGAAAACGCTCGGACAAGCCTAAGTCGCATCACTTCCTGACAGTAAGTTTGCACTGGCATTGAAAAAAAATCAAGAAGGCGCTGATCGGGCAGAGAAGTGGAAATTTCAATGATGGCCTTCACATTTTGTAATGAGTATCAAATGACCGATTTAAAAGCAAACGCAATCAATTCTCTTAATAAAACAATACATTGTATTATTTCCTGCTGCAAACGTTTTTGTTAAGACGTCTTCAAGAACAAAAAATAAAGTCATGTTCCCGAGTATCGCAATATCACGTGTTTCCAGCGTAAATGATGCACTGTAGCTTCTTGCGATATCGCGCGCATTACCTGGGTTGTTGACCCACTCCTGCAGTGCCTTCTGCAACCTTCTAACGTGAAGAGGCTTGCTGGCCATGCCCACGAGGGCCATGATCTCCAGGAACTCTTCTTCGCCCGCTTCGCACAATTGCTGCACGTCATCACCTCCTGCGTATGCGTCACATCGCTTATGTATACCACACACTGAATGAAAAGCTCGTCATGAACGGCGCACGTGATTTGTCAAACGGCTACCGTGAGAGCCCGAACACGATGACAACCACTGAATGTGCCAGAGGAAATGAGTGGAACTCCAGAGAATGGGAGTCCCCCATGCATAGGCTGATATTCACACACGTCTGTTTATACGTGCGATCTTTGCAGGAATCTACACTCTTAAAAAACGTTAGTAAAAAGGTAGCAACTGCAAGCGAATAGGTAGTAACTGCAGCAGTTACTACCTTTCTTTGACCGTTACTACCCTTTGCTACCTGTTTACTACCTACGTTAGTAAACAGTTAGTAACTGAAACGAAAGAGGTAGTAACTGCAGCCGTTACTACCTTTCTTGCCCCATTACTACCTCTTTGGTACCCGGCTTTTGACTATCTAATCCAAAATAGTGTGTGAATGCGATTCTGATCATTTATGAGAGTAATCGTGTCAACGTACTATCATTAAACAGAAAAATGACGCAGAAGGTATACATAGATCAAGAAAACACATTTCGTTCTTAATTACTCAACCGAGATATGTAAACTTCATTCTGATACTGTCTAAACGGAGAAGTACAAGTTAACGATTCATAATCAAGTGCTACACGCGCCGTAATAGACAATTACAACAAACTTGTAAACTACAGCAAACGTTAACAAGACCGGCAAATCAATATAACCAGATGGTCACAATTAGCCTCGAGGACAGTCGCAGTTATTTTACTGCGGCGTGTCTCCAAATATCATCATTGTTTTGGTGCGTCGAACCCCCAAAACGATTATTACCTTTTAAACGCTGATATATTAGTCGTGTGAAGCATTCAAATGCACTGAGAATGAGTTTAGTACTTTGTTCCGGCCACTGTACATAATGCCTTTTTGTTGCCATTCATAATAGATAAATATAACATACAATGTTTTATAAGTAAGGCCGATTATATATAGGTCTTGTGCTACGTCACCAAACACACGTAACCAAGTAGCACATTATGGTGCTATAGGTTTATATTTCTTATAACTCCTCCTGTAACGCAAGTGCTCCTCTGTGCCAGACATGCTCCTGCGAAGTGGGGGCTATATATACCCCACGCTTACATTTTACTGCATGTATACGTGAAAAATAGTGAACCTGTTTGGTCTATATTCATGGCACACCACACTTCTTACCCGACTTAGTCTAGTAATAAGGCATTGATTAGCCAACATTAGCAGTGGAGAAATATGCCCAAAGTAATGAACTATATATAGGTTGCATCGGTTACTACTTTTTTGAAACCTTTAAAAGTTACTACCCATGGGCAGTAACAGCTAAGGTAGTAACAGTTACTAACTGCTGGTAGTAACAGCAGAGGTATTAACTGTTACCACCCTCGCCGTTACTAACTGCGCTTACTACCAGGGTTGTAAAATATGTGAGAAACCATTACTACCCCAAAGTTAGCAAGTGCTACCAACTTTTTTCTAAGAGTGTAGCAGAAAAACTTACATAGCTGAGATAGAGAAACATGTTCGTTTCAAACATTCCTACACTTGGATGCCTATGGAAATGACTCTGAGCGTAGAGCTATATACGCAGCTTTTACTTAAATAAACGCATTTAGCATACAAGACATTTACCATAACAATTATCACCGCGTTACATCAATCGCAAGAGCGTTTGCAGCCACTCGTATTCCGTTCAATGTCTGCTGGAGCTGTGTACACAAACAGAAAGTGGTGCGAACGCAGGAATGTAAGGGTGATCAGTATATTCCAAATCATTTTTCATTCACTTAAAACGCCTTTTGTATTATTAGAGTAAACGGAAGATATTACACGTATGTACGTAAGTACACAAGACATGCATCGAATACATTGTACAGCACACTATCAAGGATACAAAAATGCAAGGTACTGTAACTGATGCAGCATCCACTATACATAATGACGTTACGGCAAAGAAAACAAACTACATTGGTCGCATTCACTGTGACGTAAATACGTGAAGTTAATTAACGGCATAACACATAAAAAGGACATGTTCACGTGGAAGGGTACGGTGAGAAATGCAATCCTTAATATAGCAGTGAGCAATGCACAGAACAGAATATACGTACGCTAGAGAGATCACCTCTAGTAGATATCACTGTTTCTCGAGCGTGGTAAACATACTTGCAATTAAAAGCTTGCGCGAGAACGACAGCGAGCTATACTAAAACTTCTTCGAACCATGCATTTTGATGAAATATCCGTAAACAGCAAGGGGTTTATGTGCGTGATCATACAATCTAAAGAAACGAATGCTTCAGAGATAGCACTTTTAATGTTGCAAGTATTAATATGACCACGTTGTGATAACACGAGGAGAAGAATTGGCAGCCTATCAGCATGCTTCGCGGCAAATTTCGTCGAAAGGCGGTAGTGTTCGTGTATAGCGTCGCACTTTCAGCGCAGCTTAAGAAACACCATAGGATCTTCAGAATTACGTATCTATGTATTTTCTTGTAATTGGACACACCACCTATTACTTACGCATTCATGTTGTGCTCCAGATATGCATATTTGCTTTTTCATCGACAATGTTCACAGTTCACTATGGCTGGACGTTCAGCAAGTGTTTAAACATTAGCCGGGTGGCTGAATCGTGTGACGTACGGACAGATCGAAATCTCTGCATACAAGCATCCAAAGATAGACGTTGGTCTTTAATAATTATATCGCCACACCAGAACATATCCAGACGGCACTCAGCCAAGGGTGTATCACGAATCCTCTTCCGGACATAAGTGATAGGCACAGAGGGTAAGCGCGAGGCAAGGCCTTCGGTACACTCATGGCGGTAAATAAAGTTATACCACAGAACACCGACCATCTAGAGAAGGGAAACTGAACCATTGACAGTGCAACAAAAATAAGGGTAGCGGTGGTGTTGTGAACTATCTGACCTAGAGATGGCGCTGTGAAAACTATCATGCTCATTGAGCTGGGGCAATATGGCGCCAGCATTGGTGGCGGGTACGGGTGGTCGCGGTGTGCGCCTGCATATTTATGGGCGTTTATTCGCTACTATTCCTGGGTAGTATTCATGTGCACAGCAGCCTAACATTACTATAAATATTTATGCTGTCGCCAGGTGACCGAGAGGCCTCGACTGGCAAGAAAACACGCCAAGTAAGTTTACAATGTTTATTGACCATCGTGAATGTAGCAGTATACATGTAAAAAAGTAACACTGTCACTCACAGGACTGAACAATACATACCAAAAACAGTAATAGCCATCGATTTAAAAAAATACCTGCTCAAATTGTGCAAATTTGTTTCTTGACTTATTTAGTCAGACAACAATATTTACACTGGACACCCCTTGCGCAGTAATTGGTACCGAGCTGCCCGTTGTCTTTCTCACCACACATGGCCTCAAAAAGTGCAGTGTCAGTAGGGTTAGTCTGAGCCGCAATATGATATTTTGACAACCCACTGGCGAGAGGCCCATCGCGTTGAATAAAAAAAAGCGTCGCTGTTGTGCTACGTGTTCCTCTGTATTTGTGCCTGGACTTTCGATCGTTTTCCAACAAATTCAGACCAACAAGATTAGATCCAGTAGTGATAAACACGTGTATTCTGTTAACACATTATTTACAGAATCATATTGAAAAGCAAATTTAGTTCACGTTTTAGACGAGGTACAAAGGTTGCAGTGACAGACACTGTAATTGAGTAACCGTTGGCAAATAATGAAAACCTTAGCCTGAGTCAAACATTTAAAGGGACGCAAAGTCAAATAACAACTCACGTCAGAGTGAAATCTCATTGTATGAAACACCTAAAACGACAATATCATCAACAGCAGTGCCCTTCTAACCAAGAAATTAGGCTAAATGCACAATACTTGCGCCACAGCAGGACATTCTCAAAATGATATCGATGACGTCAGAGAAACCGCGTACAAATATTGACTAGTAATCAATCTAGCTGTACTAAATAAAGAACCTTACGTGCATCAAGACACGCAATACATTCAAGAATCGTCCTCTTCAATGACAATACGCACCTCAGTCATGACCGAAGATCCAAGATTTTGATTGGGAACTTCCCGCCCTCCTGACCCACCACCAACTCTTCTTTAACTTTATACTTATGTCCAGTGAGGAATTAAGGATCACTCTTGGCAACAGGTTTGATTCCAGGGTTTTTTTATGCAGAGACACTAAACAAACTACTGCAGTGGTACGAAAAGTCCCAAGAAGTTGACAGTGATTCTGCATAAAAGTGACATAGGTTTTTGCTAAACTAAGCCCGCTAATGAAAAACTTTTCTTTATGAATATTTTTTTTGCTGGGAACCAAACTACCCTTATTTTTTGAATGAATCTCATAAAGTTGAGCTTTTCATTGAAAGAGGAATAAAAGAGTGTACTTTTTGAACCAATGGTATATATAGTCATCAAGACAGTGTTCCAACGATGGACGATGGTAGAAGCTAAATTCATATTTTCATTCCTCATTACTTCCTAACTGCCTGCCTCACTCTTAACATTGACGTCACAGAAAACTAGCCCTTTTGGCTACATCGTTCACAGAAATATCAAGAAAATAGCTCTTTGTATACATTCAAATCATCAACATGTATAAACACTGGCCAACTCTGATCATACCTACTGAGAGCACTCAATTATTATTCGGTTGATAATAATTGTACCTTTAAAAATTTCTTGTCATGTGTCAGGTCTTTTACACACAACAAATATTACTACAGCAAAAACTTGTTTTGGAACTCGGTTAATTACTAGCTAAAGTTATATTCAAAATCCCATCTTGTCCTGACAAAGTCCTGTGTATTTCTCTGGGAGGAATTTCTCGGTAATTTGAGAACATTGGTATTCACAACAGTAAATTCAAACTGAAAGCCCGTTGTTTTCATCGCTCCTCACAAAAGTCTGTCCAGAGTGGTCACAACACTTTCTAACAGCAAAC